GACCATTCGGAAGTGAAGACGGTGCCAAAGCTTAAGCCGCGTGTGGACTGCTCAACGCTGGTCCCTGATGGCTGCTGCATTCTGGTGGGCGGTCCTGGGCACATCCTCAACAACTCGGAGCACAGGTTGGACACAGCATCTAGGTTGCCCAGCAGTGCCGTTAGGTCCGTTTTTGTTTGGGTTCCCTACTGAAGCCCATTAGTGGGAAAAAGGGCACCCTTCTTCTTCAATATTACTACTATTGCTACAGTTACTATCTGTTTTTGTTGTCTCCGTTGATGATGTCGTAGTTGTTGTTGGTAGAGACAAAAGCAGCAGCCCGTAACTTATCTTACTTAGAAACGAGTGGGAATGCTTCCGGCGACCTCCTAGGATGCTCGTAGACTAGGACCTAGAGTAGGCCCTTATTCCCTTTCTTGGGGTTCAGGTTCCCTTATAAGCCCCTTTAAACCAAAAAGGGCACCCTTTTTATTCCTAGGCTACTCTTGGGTCTAGTAGATTTTGGGGAATGCAAGCCATGATGTACACCAGTATCTGTCCCCTGATAGAAATGTGGTGTATGCTGGGAGGTTGTTGTAAATGGGGAGGGGGACACAACAAAACTGGAGCCCCGTCTGTTGTTTTGACCGCTAATTACACCCCCCCCCCGTTTACAACAACCGCCCACATTACACCATGTTTCCGTCGCAGTTTTGGAAGGGATTTAGTGGTAATGTTGTCTTGGGCTTCTGCAGGTCTAAGGGGCTACTGGGCTTTGACAGGGCTTGTCTGGAAATTTCCGTGTTTTTCATTGGATATCGAAGGGTTCTAAAAGGACCTGGTCGGATTTTTGAAGGGTGTTGGGTCATGTCGCAGGGCTTTAGTGGGATTTTGGACGACTTTTCTGAGATTTTGAAAGGCTTTTGAGTTTGAAGGGTGGGAGTTGGAAGGGTTTTGATGGTGTCTAAGCTGGTTTTAAATGGGTTTTGTGGTGTTTGGAAGGGGGTTTAGAAGGATCCCTTGTGAGTACTGCCCCCACTCAGTAACAGCTGGATAATATTCATAATATAGATATATTAGGACCTTAATTGTAGCCTTACTATAGACTGTTACTGTATGGGGGGCAGTACCCACACTATAGTTGTCATTACTATACCCAGACCCCCGGGAGGATCCAAAAAGTAGATCCCTTAATGGGGGTTCCTATAAAGTACCCTTAACAGTATAGGGCCCAAATTAGGGATCTACTTTCCCTTATAGGATCTGAATGCTTTGGAAAGTGTGCTTCAGGCGCTACGGCCCGGAGCTGAAGCGCAAACTCAAATCCCCAACGTCTCCCCTAAACCCTAAACCCTAAACTCCGGAAGACTGCAAACTCCTGGATTGTCCTTTGGGGTTTTTTTAAATTTCCCCTACGATTCTGTAGAGAAGCATAATAGTATATAACTAATTTTCAGTTGGCTTAACCTGCTAAGTCCTTTGCCTTCTTTTAAGTGGGTTAGAAAACTATAACCCGGTAAGACACCCCATGAAGAAATCATTCCTGGCAATTCTAAAAAAACCCGGAAATCCTGAATACCCTTGAAATTCCAGCCTTGCTTGGCATTGAGTGTGGCCATCTCTACATGCAAGGGGGTTGAAGGCAGCTTACTTCAGAAGGTAGTCTGGACTTGTGTACATCAAAGCCTGTGGGAAGGCTGTCAGACACAAGCAGGGTTTGCCATACAGACTCGATGGATACATTAGGATTGTGTCTTCGTAGGCCACTTAATCAAGGAAGACTTTAGAAGTCTTTGCATGCTGATGTGGGTGTGCCCCTGTCGGACTACATCTGCAGATCAGCTCGAAGCTCAGCTTCTTTTATCTCGCCAGCAGCTGTATAGATCCATTCGTGTTGCCTGCACCAGGGCTATCCATGCGAGCATGAGTGTTCTGACAATGAACATGATGCAAAACTGCAGCTTTTGTTCAAGGGCTTTCGGTTCACTGTGTGTGTGTACCGATCTGATCGGTATATGGCAGCAGCAATGAAAGGTGAAGGGCAAGCGATGGATGTGAGCGGGCTTGCAAGTGTGTGGGAGGGAATTGCAAGCGTGCGCAAGACTGCTCGTGATACGGGCCTGATTATGCGGCTGCCTCCTGGTGCTCAGTTGTGCGATAGCAACCGTGTGAATGCTGTTGCTAATACTGATGTGTTGACTCCTTGCTTGGAGCGCATGCGTGACCACGACCTGAAGCTTCCGTACATCACCCCATTACAGGAGGAGATCGAGATGTTCTTTCGGCAGGTGCATGTTAAGGTTTCGGAGAAGGTTTGCTACAGAACGGCTGGTGAGATCAAGAAGATGTTGTCTTTTATCAAGAGAAAGGCAAACAAGAAAGAGGTGACGAAGGATACTTGTGTGTGCATTCTTTTTGTGATGTAAATGTAGCATAGTGTACATATATTTTTTGAATGTAAGAGTGTGAGGCCTTAACATGGAGCCAACTCTGTATTGTGCAGGACACGCGATTTCACAAGCTGCTGTTGATCATCCGGCCGGACCTGCAGGAACCGGTTTATGTGAGTGATTGTTTAGCTGAGTTGCGGAAGCTTTTCAAAAGTTTATATGGTTTCGACCCATCGTGCAGAGGCTGCAAACTTTCAATGTATGATGTGATGTATCCGACAGTGTAGTTTGAGTGCAAAATCGGTATGATACCATATAAGTTTGTATATACATGCATGCAGGAGCACATCGACATGTACATGGCTGGAGCTATGAGGCAGGCCAACATTGCACAGGCTGCACGGGAAGCTTTGCTACGAGCTCGCAGCTCAGCCAGTATGGAGGGTTCGACTGGGGATGAGAATGAGGGCGAGGACGATGAGTCAGTCGAGAGGGAGACTGACTTGGATGAGTTTCGCCGCTGGCTGGACAGCCAGCCCCGCGGATCGCAGGATCCGATCCCCGACCCAAGCTCAGCATCCTCCGCTTCCTCCGGGCCACCCAGACCAGCAATCGCACCTGCTACATCATCCAACCCAGAAGCCTTAGCTGTTGTGCCATCCCCTGCGCAAGCCGTAGCTGCAGTGCCATCCCCGCCAGAAGCCGTATCCCGTGAGCCATCCCCGCGAGCAGCCGTAGCTGTCAATGTGCCATCCGCACCACATGTTTCCCATGAGCCATCCCCACCAGCAGCCGTAGCTGTTCATGTGCCATCCCCACCGGAAGCCTCATCTGGATCATCTGGATCAGGGGCCAGATCCAACACAAAGCAGTGTGAGGCAGCAGGGAATGAAAGCCTCCCATCCCAAGCGAAGGCGACAGAGCCAAGGCTTAACCGGTCAAAGGTGCTGGCCACTGCCGCCTGCGAGACACAGCCATCCCAGGTTGCAAAGGTTCGCGAGTCGACTTGGCATGCTTCGGGCAATTGTGAGAAGTGTTACAAGTCTCCTGATCAGTGCAACTTGATGGCATGTGAAAGACTTTAACTTCCAGCAGTTTACATGCATGTATACAGTCTGTGTAAGTGGTTTCATCGGGTATCGTATGTCAAACTGACTGTGCTACTGCAGGCAAGTGCAAGCAGATCGCCAACATGAAGGAGCAGATGCGAGCACTCATTGCGGCGAAGAGGCAGCAGATTGCCAAGTTTCTTTGGTTGCAAGGTTCTCTGCAACGTGGTTTCATAGTGCATGTGTGTATATCGATAAATGCATGCCTACACATTCAACCGTTGCTCTCCAACCCTCATTGTACCTACATCTGTGCCAGCTAGACATGCACGTTTAGAACAGTGCAACAAGCACATATATGTGTACGCACAGACACATGTTCTCATGCAGGTGAGTTACATACGTATACAGACCAACATACAAGAATGCCGGCATGAATGCATGCAGGCATACATACATGCTTGACCTGATACATGCATCATTCTAATATGGGTGCACGCTTGGATGCTTCGAGAAATATAGAAGCAATGCCAAACTGAAATATACAACGACACTAAGTGGATGTATAAAAGATACTCACCGCCTATAGTTCGTCATGCAGAGTTATAGGTTGTACAATCAGTTTGGAGATAGCTCCTTGCGCATACACTCCTCATCAGGACCCCTGCCTCTCCCATATCCTTATCTGCTTTCCATCGTTGTACATAATTATATAAGTGCCTATTCATTCTCATTGGTAGCACTCTCACTCTGTATCCCCCTCATTTTTCATCCTGAGCCTGTCTGGGTCTCTCTCGCGCTCTCTTTCTTAGTCGCTCTCTTTCTCCTTCTGGCCCTCTCTTAGGTTTTCACGAAACCTCTCTCCATGGCTCTCTGCATGCTTCCCGTGTGTCGTTGACTTATACTGAAAACCCAGTGAGATAAGGCTCCAACACCAACCTGCTGAAGCAGCCTCTGGATCGGTCGCAGTGGTTCGGCCTCCTGCTTCAGGACCATGACCCGATGTTGCATGCAATAAATGTGTATGTATATATATATATATACATGTACATGTATTCGGAGAAGAGTTCGTATAGCACCCATATATGTATGTGTACATATATATAGATAGACACATATATATACAGATATATATAAATATGTATATACAACTCAAGAGAAGGAACATACACAATGTGTATACACATATACATGTTTGTATATGCATACCCATGTAGTTGATGCCTACAAACTCGTATCTACATGGATATACATGGGCACTTGTAGATTCCCGTGTCTGTGCTTATTTATGTATATATATATATATGTCTATGTATCTGTGTGTATATATATATATAATATACATTTATACATGTGTACACATAGACACACATCTAGATATTTGTTTCATGTCTGTATATGCATACAAAGCTACATCTATACATGTACATGTACATGAACATATATAGATCTAGATCTATATATGTACATGCAAATATGTACATATGTACTCATAAGTGTATATATATATATATGTATACATATATATATATATGTATACATGTGCATATGTATGTATATGTTTCTATATGTATGTACATGTATATGCATATGTATATATGTATATGCATATGTATTTGTAGATGTAGATGTAGATGTATATGTAGATGTGTATATGTATATGTGGGTGTGTGTATGTATGTATATATATATATATATATATGCACATATTAGGCAG